TATCCAACCATAAGTTTGTATCTCACAGTTAAAGTCAGTCGAACAGAAGACAAGTTTTCCACATCAGTAATCAACTTGTAAGTAAGTTTTCCAGTTCGATCACAATGAATGCTTAACACAATTATGTCCATCTGGACTCTGTCTCGAACTCATTTGGTAAATTGGTGACTTGTCATTTTTGATAAAATGTAGGCGACCACAAGAACATTAATTGCTTTAAGTATAACTCTCCAATTATTAAATTGAATTTCTCCTTTCTACTTTGGTTTTAAATACATTCTTACGACTAAAAAATTATAATTACTTGTAAATGAATTAGTCAAAGTTATTTGCAATGATAGTAAAAAAATATTGCCATGCTATGATATGTGAAGGTATACTGCTTGAAAATCTCATAGTTTTCTCTTATAGAAATATGATCATCTTATGACAACGTTTCTAGGAGGAAAGCAAACAACAGTATCCAAAACAAATTCTTAGTAGTAGGTGAAAAGTATTTCTAAAATATATATATATATATGTATTTTTTAGAAAGTTATTTCACCTTAAAGTTATTAATTAATTTTTACTAAAAAACTTTGACTATCAAACCCTGTACATATTTTGTTTGAATTTAATTTTTACCGAAATACTCATTCCCTATTTTAATCAACATTTAAAACAAATTGTTTCAGCAAAAGACCACACAATTTTCTAATTAATGAACATCCTACTACTATTTAATAATATAAAACAAGTATACTTGGTAACTGGAGGGGTTAACTATGGGATTTTATGGGAAAACCACGAAAATGCAATAACTTTGAAGCGGGGATTGTACAGCTTTGTTCAGTGTACAAAACATTTTATTCAATGAAAAATAATCTTTGAAAAGCCAATGTAAAGACAAGTGACTTTCATATTAACTTCAGTTTAAAATCTTAGTGATAAATAATTTTTACACATTTTTGCCACTACACATCATAAAATTCCTCATTACTAAACATGTCCCAAACTTCACCCCTGACTACATTTAAAACCTACTCACCTACTTAATACCGACTCATCAGGTAGCAAATGAAGCCTTTAGCAAGGCTGGTCCCAACTCATGGCAATTTCCATTCATGAGGAACCCACCCCGTGTGGGCGTCGGTGGCATAGACGCGCGTCGCGACGCTATAAGCCCAGTACAGCCGTGCCGGTGCTTCTGGTAGGAGCGTCGTCGTCTCGCCTGAACTCGCTCACCACTACACACGTGAGTTTCAAACTCGATATTTAAAAATAAATGAAAAATGCTTTTTAATTTAGGTGGACAAATGAATGCTAAGATACTGTAGTCATTTTATGACCGGTGAGAATAGTTTATGTGGTATGGAAAATTGTAACAAATTCTGTTCTAAGTCAGGGAGCTTTTGTAATATAATGTGGGTTATTCGTGTAATACAAGTATAATTCTATCTTTCCCACTATAGTATTATAATTATAAGTGTTCGTCGTTGGCAAGAATTTACAAAAAAAGCACACGATTCGAAATAAAGCTTGAAACAATGGCTTGGTAAACGACCAGAGAGAGATTCGATGGTAAAAATTAAAACCTATATAATATCAGGTATTTCATACGAATCTGTAATAATTAACGGAATTTGTTACTGGTAAACATTTACAAAACTGTATACAATTTTAAAAAAGCTGAGACGGTTTTAATTTTTCTGAACGATTGGGAACTTCAAGATCTAAGGAATTCATCATTCTTCAATTATACTCTTTATTATACCAATTGTTACATACTGTACCGATTGCTAAACTTTCATCACTGGACAGTTTTAGGAAACCGTACACGATTTGATAAATGGTGGAACCAATAAAACATTTGAAAACTATTCAAAAATGTCTTTAGCCATTGGAGGGACTTGACACTTTACTTTCATAAATTAATTCCCTATGTAATACCAAGTTTTTCCCACTGTGATGTTGTAGGCATTTTAAACCCTTCTAATGTAAATAAGATGACTAATTTAAAAAGTTGTGATGGTAAAGACAATTTTGAACAGTTTCAAAATGCTTATACACGTTTAAGTGGCATCGATACTTTATGATATAAAACTATTAAAACTATAAAATTCAACTCTTTAAAGTTTTTTTTTTTTTGTTGCCAAGGATTGACAAGAAAGTATACAATTTGAAATAATGTATTAATACAAAAGCAATTTACAAGTTTTGGAATTTTGAATAACTAGAGGACTTAAAAATGTATTTCTGACTAACCGAATTCTAGTGTTTCTTTTTAAATTCTGCCATGATTCTTAAACGTTCGTCATTTGAAATACCCCCGCTGCAGCAAACCTGCAGACTAAGCAAATTTCAAAAAATAAAATTATATCATTTAACAATTTTGATGCGTGATATAATTTTTGAGATATGAGGTGTAAAGTTAAGCAAACTAGAAGAACTCATAAATAAGATTAAATAAAATATACTTTTACATCCAGCGCTATAAAATGTTCACTATGTTTGGTTGCTTCAATTCACTCTTAATTACCTTAATCGACACTATTAATTACTTCAAACAATACTTAAATTGCCTACACCTTCTTATATTGATTTTTAAGCAGTCTGCATACAATTGAAAAGGCTAAGTAAGCTTTGAAATCCATTCAAAACATTCAATTTAATTAAAATAGCTTAATTAAAAAGTGAAGCAATTATTGTACTGCAAAATTAATTTGATTTATTATTGTGATTTATAATCTATGTTAAATACTGCAAGAGATATATGTAACAATGCATGGAGGTATTGACAGTGCAATATAAGATAAGTTAATCTATATTTTTTATAAAAGAGGAAGTTTGTATATATATTTGAACGTTATGGACTCCTAAACCAGTCGACAGATTGTAATGAAACTTTCAGGCATTATTAAGCATTATTCAATGATGGTTTATGTGAAGTTTGGTGCAGATCCGTCAAAAGGGCTCTGCCCCAGTGGCTCTGGAGCCTCCTATGTTAACCTTATGATTACCTACTCATATTTTAAAGGAATTAAACAATCTTAACAGATGTTTTTAACTAAACAAAAACATTAAATTACAAACAATAGATAATGTTTAAAAAACATCACTATTTGGTACCTCTAAGAGCATATACATACAGACTATCGAAACAGTTCAATCGATTAAAGTAATCACCAATGGTGTTTTTTTTAACCTAAGTGAAATTATTTTAAAATTAAAAGCTGCGTAGGATAATTATTCATAATCAACAAACATTAATTTAATCACTAAAATAATGTTTTAATGACATTTATTTATTGTGTAAAGTAATCTAACTTAAAATTCATGGATGTACTTATCAACGTAATCTCAAGAAAAGTGATACCAAATACGAACTATATTGAGTACATATAACAATATGAAATAAATGTTCAAAGACTATTCCATTTTGAATTACACTTTCTGTCCTCTTTTGGCAAATATAAATACAAATACGAACATAAAAGGTAAATGTAATACGAAAAGTTCAAAAGCGTCTGCACAAAGTTCTGTTCACGGGACATTTCAAAAGTGTAATTTATCATTGAAAGCTTTGACTACATTTTACAAAACACAGTGTTCATCAGCTGTTTTGACTTTATAAAGAAATTGTTGAAATTAACAACACAACATGTGTATATTGGTAATAGTAGTTGACGTGAATTAATAAATCTCTTATGGACCTTTATCATATGATAAGATACAATTATATTAAAACAATTCAGTCTAATAGAGTAGAAATTGTGATTTAAAGAATTGGAAATTGGAAATATTCGTTATGTGTACGTCAATTAACAATACAAACATGGTAAAACAGGTAAAAAAAAAAACAGGTATGTCTTTTACACTTATTTTTAAACTTGTTTTTACCACGTATGTGTTCCGTGTGACATTTGATGAAAAGAACTTAATCAGTTGAGATTTAGAACTTAAACATGTCACAAAAACGGCAACTGCAGTGTGGGAATGTGTCACGACCGAGAGACTTATGTATCCATCCGGTGTGACACATCATTCCCACACCGCAGTTACAGTTTTTGTTAGTTTTTAATCGTTTTAAGTATACCGTTTTACCATTTTAATGTCCGTGTTTGTGTGTTTACGTACCTTGTGTGCAACGACGACACATCCTTGACGCCTGAAGAGTACTTAGTAGAAATTCGAAACTAGTTGCGAAACTAGCAACATGGATTACAACGAGCAGGTCAATGGAAATGCCACCAATTTCATAAATTTAACGTAATCCGGAGCAAGGCCACACAAAAAAAAAACAGGCCGTAATGCTCGTCAAACATGACGTCACGATAGAAGACGGCTATGACGTATAAGTACTTATTTATTTATTTTCCAATGAAAGATTAAAACAAGCAGCTGATCACAAACGCCAAAATTACGTCATTGCCGTCTTCTATCGTGACGTCATGCTTGACGAGCATTACGGCCTGTTTTTTTTAGTGTGGCCTTGTCCGGAGTGTTAAGTATTTAGCTGGCCAGCTGATAATTTGTGTGTGAGAGAGAGAAAGAGGATGCTGCAAAATCCCCACGCAACAATACAATTTAATTTAGAAAAATGTAAACATTCTGGTTCCAAGTTCAATGTTTTTTCTCGTAATATCATTTCTTTGAGCTCCATCGTTAATTTCTCTATTCTTTTATTTTGACTTGTTTCATTTACCTTTTACTTTTGTGTGCTTTTAATAAGCCCTTTTTAATTTGACTCTAAATTCTGTGTACTGTCAGAACATTTAAACATTCATCAAAAATATCTTCTCGACGAGACAACATTCGACCAGATCTTCTAGAACGTCATTGTGGTAACATAACTATATTTCAGTTTTAAAATTAAACCAAAAGTCCACCATTATTTTCTGTTATTATCAAGATTAAATTAATAACCCCATATACAGTCCACTTTTATTATTGTCAAAAAGCCTTTAGAGTACGCTACACGGAGGCTAACATAGAAATAAAATTTATTAATAAGTTCAAAATTCTCCGAAAACCTGTTTATTAGACGGTTTACATCTCTTGCTTGGTTTTACTTGTTGAGACCATAGTTGAGACACAGACGTGTCCTAGATCCATCAGGATTTGTGTTCCTCGCAATACAATCGAGGCCATGATCACATTCAAATCTGGTTGCTGTTTGCGACCTGCACTCAATGCAAACATGCCCTTCTTGGCCGGCATGTTCGTCCTCTTTATATGTTTCCAATCCCTCGTCACAGGCCCAACAGAAAGAACCTGTAAACACAGCCTAAATATAATTCTGACAATTTAAACATTCTAACTAACAAGACCAATGCGTATTGGAAAATTTACAGAGTTTGCCTACAATTTTAACTATTCAATATTCAAACATCGTTATTCATTTTAATGTATGGAAAGGCCTACATGGTGGACAGAGGTCAATACAGTTCTAACACTCTAATATCTGCTGACTAAGTGAATTTTCATTTACCTGATTGGATTTTCACTTAAATATTACCTCGTAATTGTCACCTTTATTCCCGGTTTGAATATAATAGTACCAGGGGACCGAGCATTGCTCGTAGTTTAATGTGTAGGAGACGTTAAAAAATAAACATAGGCCTACATATGTACAGCTTCCATGATATTATAAAATATGTATAAAACAAACTATAGACTATAATATAATGTTATCGTGCTCACTATTGGTGTTATTTGCGCAACATTTTGTGCACAGCACTGTCACCTCAAGCCATTGAAAATCATTGTCCTCTCCTAAATAAACTCGCATTACTGACACAATTAAAAAATCCGAAAAAAAATTATGTATTTAAAAAATAGTATCATTACAGTATTGTCAGTTTTTAGCGAATTTCCCTATAGGGAAGTAGCTATTACCGTAGGTCTCATGGTAAGACTTAGGCCCGGGACCGATTTACTTTTTCATTTTGATGTCCCCAGAGGCCAAAAACACCATTCGTTCAAATTTTTATATATGTATATATATATATATATATATATATATATAGATTTATATGTATATATGTGTCCGTGAACACGATAACTTGAGTAATTTTTATCCGATTTTGATGAAATTTGGTTTGAAGGTGTAAGGCGGGATAAACTTGAATGAGTTCGCGATCCAGCATGATCGGACCATGGGAACAGGGTTTTATGGGGTAAAAATTGGTTTTTCTCACTTTTGACCCTCAAAACACAAAATTTCCCAATTTTTCTCTAAACCATCTTAAAGAGCTTAAAAAAACAAACAATTCAGTATATCAAAGTGTTTTTGTACGGTTATTGGTTACGGAGAAAACTAAAAAAATTGTAAATTTAAAATCCCCATGTTATTCTTATGGAGAATATTGTAAAATGTTGTAGTTTGCTTGTTTATGGATATCTTTTGATCAAACTTGGCAAATATTTTATACTAAGCAATAATTATTTTACTTAAAACACACACTTTATTAGTTTCCTTGTAGCAGCAAACCTAGGTACTCGTTAAACCTAATTTTATTTAAATAGATCAATTGAAAAGCAATTCAGCCAAATGGAAATTCGCTTAGACAGCAGGTTAGCTGCGGCGGGGGTATTTTTTTATCTGGGCCATTGTATAAGAGTTAATCTCTATAATAATTAATCTATTTTACAGTTTAGTGGCCTATTTTTGACATCGGGTTTCCTCTATCAATTAACTGACTTTAATTAATTGGTTAGCTGTTTGCTGGTAGACAGTTTTGTGCTAGGCTTAAGAAAATTTTATTTTTATTCAAAACTAATGAATTTCACTAATGAATCTACGCTTAGAAATAAGTTAAAGCGGCATAAAAACGGCAAAATTTGTAGTAAAAAGTGCAAATAAATACTCCGAATACTCTAAGATGGGGTTTTCTGCTGTATAATGTAGTTTCAAGGGTTTGTGAGACAAAAAATGTAGTAGCCGTTACTTTAAATGCTGTTGAGTCTAGAGCATATTTATACGAGTGTGAAGAGGTTAGTTTTTATACTGAATTACATAAAAAATATGTCTAAATCAAGCGGACCTGTTAAAATATAACTACCAATTTAGAACTTGATTTAACCTATAAAAACATATACCTAACTAATTTATTTTCTGTGTAAATCATCTTCACTTCAATATTTTCACGTTAAATTAAGTTAATTAAGTTTAATAACAAACTCATGATATAATAATATTTAACATATTATCAGCTGTTGTTCTGTGGCCAGCATTGTTGCGAGGTGCGAATATTATGCGCTCTCTGGTATAACGGATCGCGGAACGTAGCAACTATGGGACCGCCCACGGATATTAGAACAGAAACGGTATGGATCAAAAACATAAAAAAATGACGTCACTGTATGGAATTACTGTATAAATAATCTCTACATGTGTTTTGGACGTTTTTTGACAGTTGCATTGAAATAATAATACAAACATGTCAATTTTCGGGTAATTTGTTTGTCTATGTCCATATCTTTTCTATTTTATAATCCGTAGGATCCTCAAACAACCCATTCGGTGGTACATCGTCACAAACTACATAATGTCCTTTGGGTTTCCTCAATACTCTTTGTTCAGCATTAGTATAAAATCTTGTGCGGTAAAGTATTCTACGATTTCGAACAACTGTAATGATACAATTGCTTAATACAACATTCCAAGGGTATTAAATAACCAATGCTAAATGGTATTTATGGGAATGACCTTTTATTTTGTACTGTATTTAAGTCCAAAATATTTTTGTCGAATTGGATTAAAAATTATTTGGAATCATATTACAGAAATTAAATTATGGCTGTTACCAAATGCTTTGTGTCAGAATTACTACTGAATTGAAAACTCAACTATTTGTTTATTATGCCTATTTTCATTCTATTCTTCAATATGGAATTGAACTTTGGGGATTCGCATCAGAAATAGAGAGAGATTTTCAGGTACATGTTGTTAAGAATCATGAATTTGATGTCTTACAGATCTTCATGCAAGCTAATAGTTTTAAATTTTTATTTATAAAAACAACACATTTTTAATAGCACTACTATTTTGTATAAATGTTTATGTGATAAACCCTAGAAGCGGTATTTATTCATTTTATTTAGTTTCGACCCATCACTACTGTTAATGAAGTTATTTTATAAATCATTGTAGGCCTATGTTCAAGAGCATAAATAATAGGATTGAAAGCAACTCGACTCTCTGTGGGTTTTGTAGATTGAAGATATAGTTTTCACAACGTACAATAAGTAAGTAGTTTATTCTGTGGTTGTTTGATAATCTTGTGATGTTAATAAACAAAGTGGATGTCTTTATTGCGTAAAGAAAATAAGTAATATAGCATTACCCATAACTTATCTTAATCCGCATTTGTAAAGTTAGTGGTGTAACCGTAAATTGTAATAGTATATTTCGTACCTAGGACCGAAAACCATTTCGGTCTGTGGTACAAACGCTATTTTTCACAACACTATACCCAATTACCACTATTCACCAGAATAATAATGCACACTGATATTCAACACAACTACAACTTTTAGGTTATGTAAAGAAATAATTTGAGGAATCAGCAAAAATAATAATAAATAATTGCTAGGCAACGGTGACAGTAAAACAATTAATTATTTTGCAATGCTATGGATAGGCCTACTGATTGTGTATTTATTATGCATTCATGTTCGTTAAGCGGGCAGCTGATTTTGCGGCCCCGGGCTGTAAAAACCTGCTCGGTTCCCAAATGACGATGACAGCTGGCATGGCCAGCAAAACATAACTTTCAACCATCAATTAACATATGTGAAACAGCTAACATCATAGTGTGGTGAAAAAGTACTTACACAATAGAAGCAGGAGAGCCAGCTTGATCAAGTACATGATGCTCTTCTTAACGCGACTTCTACAATACAAAACTATTATTGGCGCAATAGTACAGCTGCAAGTCGAAAATAACTGTAATTACTAAGGTATGTGAACTAATTTGTGTGAATTGTCTGTTTTATAATGATAATTGCTTTGAAATTGCAGTCATTAATGTTGCAGGTGAAAATGTAGCCTTATTCGTAAATAATTTCGAAATTAACCATAAGAGCACATCAGAACATTATTTGAGTAATGTTTTAATATTTCAAATTCTCACAAGCTAAACTATTTGGTAGTTTTAACGACTTCAAGTACTAACAGTAATTGGATTGTGGGCCTTATCATAAGCACAGGATCAAGTAGTCATTTTAAACTGTACTGTATATAATTCAGAACAGCTGATTTACATATTGAGTTAGATTTTTTCAAGATTTGTAAACAAAAACATTACTTGTATAAAGGCCAAGTATACATCTGACACTATGAATGTTCCTTTAAACCTTTTACATAAATAAACAGAAACAAAATATCTGATATGAAAAAAACGGATTTCATAAGATATTGTTCAAGGGTTACTTTAAAATTCTTTAGCACTTATGGTTCATTGGGTAACATGTGTGGCCTATTTTAAAAGTTGTTAAAAGTCCGATACAAGATACTCATGCCATCCAAAGTTTGGTAAGCTTATTTTAAGGACCCTTTAAGCTCTTTATCAGAGCTATGGTAATTCATCATATTGCTTACCAACTGACAGGTTCCTTGATGATAGTAAATTGTTGAATGCGTCTTTTTTAAATTTGCAATAGGTGTCATAAAAATTCTTATATATTATAAACACACAAAAATGTAACCACTATTGAAAAATATAACAAACGTTCTTTAAAACATAGCTGAAGTCTTTTGGGTCGATGAAAACCTCAATGTAAAATATTATAAAAAATAATAGGGGTTTTTTGCATGTTAATAAATTATACTAACTGAATATTAGGCGCTTATAACAAATCGGCATATAAAATTATTCGGTATTGGATTTTCAGAGATATCAGACTCTTCTCGTAAAAACAGTTTTATGATTAGGAATGTGTAAGCAATTTATTAAACCCGAATTTAAATACTAGTAATTAGCAAATTTTCTGTATTTTATTAAAATGTTAAATGGAATTTAACGTTTTTTCGAGAACTTTTAAAATATATAACCGCTTGCAAATTGTATTTAACTATTCAATTTTGTCTAACGATTCATCGAGTTTGATTGTTTGGTTGTCAGCTGGGTTTAACAACTAAGATTTAGAACCCAGCAACTAGGCTTGACTCAACCAAGTAATCAGGCTTTGAGAAGTTGTAGTTCTCAACATTGCAGGGCTTTGATTTCAGACTTTGAGTAAGGAGTAGTTTTAAGTAGTGTCTTGTATATAAATACCCCAGACGGAACAAACCTGTAAATGTTCAATTGTCTGATTTTATTTTACTTAAATATTTCTGAGTCGGATTTGTTTTATATTGAAATAACATTCGGTTTAGTGATCACTTAGATTTGTTGCTACAGAGTATGGGAAAGGTGCCTTTCTTATCAAAAGTAGCTTTAATAAAAATCTGTACATAAACAAATACAACTTTTCTCCATATGACTTATCTTTTTCCATATGATGACTTTTTCTCTATATCTAAATGATACTACTTTTACCCATTTATCCATTTACCATTTATTCAATGGGAGTTCGACTTGAAACATACCCACTTTGAAGCAATCCGTGTTTATACATTGTCGAAAAACGTTGTACTATTATGTTGTCACCTATTTCACACTTTGGAAATATGAAAATGTGCATGGTTAAAAACATTAGTCTACAGGCATCTAGCTTTCGTTTCCACGATGAAAGGCCGTGTATTTTAGCTTCAATATTTGTGTCTTTACTGCAGGTCAAATCCAACTAAACACAATTAGTTATTAGTCCTACAAAAAATATATTTAACGATGAGATCTTTTTAATTTATTGACATTGTATACTGAAAAGGAATGTTTACAATAATATCACTATCATATATTTATTCAACCTCAGTTGATTAAATAAATATATGATAAAATATAATAAATATTTGAATAAAACCTTTGACTATCAATACAACTTCAGTATCCAATAGTCAATGGTAAAACTAAGTAAAAAATATTTCTGTACTACAATTTAGTGTTGAAAGTGTCACAAAACGTTATTGACTTCATAAGAGTTTTGCCAAATAATGAAACGGCGATTAATTCTATAATAACTTGATTAAGGTATCAAAAGGTTAAATGTAAATGTATTGGTATGGGAACTAAGCACACACAAGTATTATTACAAAACACATTTTAAATAGGATTTTGACTAATCGAAATGAAAGCTACCACCCGGATTTACTTTAATCTCTATGGTCAGCGAATCTGTGCGGGTTTTATCTCTTCGCAATTCTGTTCATATTATGTTATTTCATCAATCATTAGTTGTAATATAAAATGAATATAATGACGTTATTTTAAAATATGATAAATCATTAATTGGAATATGTTTATGCTGTTTTATAGCTATGATTTATAACGGAAACTAAGTTATTGCATATTGATTAATACAAAAACAATTTTTTAAACGACCCGAGAGCTAGAACCTGATTGTACTCATTAGAAGAGAATAAACATGGATCATAACAATATAACACACACCTGGTACCATGGGGCAGTTCTATAACTGAAAAATGTTTGTAACCCAAAGAAAAAAGAAATAAACAGTATCAGCCATATGACACATACTTTCTCCTTTTAGCTTGTCATCAACCCGTACATGGATAAGCGGCGAGAGTAACCTTGATAATTTATTGGAAAAATCACAAAGGTTGCACTTACTTTTAAACCAAAATTTTACAGCAATAGGGTTTGTACCATTTCGTTAAGAGTTAAAAAGACTATAACATACACAAAATTTGAATCAAAATTGGTCAAGTCGGTATTTTAGATATCAAATTTAACGTGAATTAATAGGTTTTTATAGAGAAAATTCCAAAAGTTGCAATTACCTTTGGACCGTAATTTTTACAGCAATGGGAGATTTACCATCTTGTTCAGAGCCAAAAAAGTTCGACATACTTTTTAACTTTTCAACGGGGAGTTGATCAAATCATTGAAGAAAATTATGGAAAAACTAAAAAAAAAAAAACGATTGTGTTCAATTAATGAAAATAAATTAAAATCAATCGAATTTACATAACGAATGATTTTCATTATCTACGAACAATGAAAATCAAAGACATCCAAAGATAAAGCAATCCATAGTATTCAATATAGATTATAAAGCAATGTACCTTTTTTCATTACATTTAGATTTTTTTTAGCATGCTGCCAATTACTTTTTTAAAAGTTAAAGTGCCTGCCACAAACCACCTTAGAAATAGAAGATTTAGGTATCTTTGTTGTAAGAAGAAAAAGTGTAAAAATATTTGTTTGTTATCTCAATGCATCAATTGGACCGCATCAAGTTTCTTAAACTTGGCGTGGCCAAGCTGTTGTAGTTTCTTTAATAAATATATTTGTATTTGAACAAAATTGGCCTTAAAATATAGTGGCAACGAACCATTAATCTACGCTTATAAGGGTGTAAGGGTAGTTATCGGAGTGGCCAAACAATATTGATATTGGCCTCTAATAAAGTGCTTCACAGGGATTCTAACATTAGTCACTTGGCTATTATACTAATTAAACGGGTCTCTGAACAGTCTGCTGTCGTAGATCAGGTCTTTTGCCATTATAGAGGCCAATAGCAGTATATCGTAACTTAGACGGTGCTATTGATATTTGTAATGCTGTCTATATTTTAGATTCATATGCGTCTTTTTAGTATTAATTGCTATAGTTTTCAAGTGCTTGAATAGAACAACCACGATACAAACTACGACATTATAATACATGATTGCAAATCTCTTATTACTTAATAGTACAATACATGTTTACTTGGGACTAAGTCACTCTTTTCAACAGGAATTTAAAGTTTATCTTTTAACAATCGAGATAAAGCAAAGGACAGAACAATTAGCAAATAAATGTCAAAACGTGTGTTTAACGATATTTTTGATTATTTTGCAAAATGTTTAAGCTAACCAATTCAAGCAGTAAACACGTTATAAATTATTTAGCTGGTTTCTAAAATTGCTTCGTTATTAGCATTGACTATTGATTACTGTGGAAAATAAAAATCTTAATTCCATATAGCTAAAAATGATTTCGATCAGCTGGTGTTTAACACACAAAAAGTCTATAGTGGACTGGTACTGATTTACTGTACAATTAGTCGCGCGAATGACGTCACCGATTCACACAGCTGACACATGTTGTTATTGTTGTTTGTTTTTGTGTAAGTTCTGTGCAATGAAGTTAACATTTCTTGTTTAATTTTATACTTTGTAAAGTGATTGAAATGTCTCGTGAGTGATGTTATATAACAGTGTGTATCAATATCCAGATAAAAACTCATGGTGACATGCTTAAAACATTCTATCAAAGATTCCCTATGAGGACGAAGAACTATGCAACCAATGAACCCACTGCTACAACGAGTGAGTAAATAATTTAATCCTCGTAATTCAATGATTAGTTTGAAAAATTGATTACAAACGAGATCTTAAAACTTAACAGTTCAATTTAGTCCTAGATATGCGGGTTCTTTAGCGAGGTGTATGCCTGTCTGTTAACCTTATTTAATAAACATAACTAAACATCAAGATTGAGAAATCTGAATAATACGACGAATGGCAAAATATGTAATGGTCTTAACACTGACTGTTGGATACGTACCTATTTACCTAGAGGGCGGGAGTTTGACGTTATTCTCGCCGATATGATAGCTGCACCGCCTTGCTCCGCATTTTATTTCTGCTTTTAGATGAGAAACAGCTCTCTGTTAGCGAATTTCCTATAAGGGAACAAGCTATTACCGTAGGTCTTCATGGTAAGACCTAGACTCGGGACCGATTTCCTTTTATGTTTTGATGTACCCAGAGGTCAACACCATCCGATCAAATTCATATTTAAATGAGAAAAAACATCCGATTTTGGTAAAATTTGGTTCACACGTGTAAAC